CCTGAGGCAGTGGCCAGTGGTATGTGAGATAAGCTGGGTGCAAGGAAGTAGCCGGAGCTTGTGCTCCTGAGGCAAGGGACGGTGCCACGTGGGAGTGGGACGGCAGAGGACTGAGTTCCCTTTGCTTAGTCCCCTCCCTATATGCAACGTCAACCCCAGACGCCTCCTTCCTGTGACCTTCCTGACTTCCTGGGTCCCTTTGTGTAGCACTGACCCCAGACGCCTCCTTCCTGTGTCCTTCCTGACTTCCTAGGTCACGTACTCTGTCTATGCACTAATCCCAGACGTCTCCTTCCTGTATCTGGTCCTAGCCTCCTACATCACTCCCTCTCCCTTGGTATGCTAAACTCAGACAGCCCCTTCCGGTATCTGACCCTACAATCATTGGCTAGTAAGTGGGCTGGGGAGGAGGGGCTAGTAGGTTCTTAGGAACGAGCGTGGTCAGATCATGCCCTCTCTTGGCTCCTGCTCTGTTGCTCTGGCCTTCCTGCTTGGCCTTGCTGTGATGGCTTGCTGTGATGGCCTCTGAATAAAGCTCTGGTGTTGGTGCCTCCCGATGGCTCGTCTCTGTGTGTTTATCCGGTTGAGGACCGAAGACTGATGAGTGAGTATGACTCTGGCAGCCTGCTCCTTATAGGAGGAGTGTTCGGCGCAGCCGGCATAAGGTCGGCGCGGCCGGTACATATAGCAGCAAGTATCTTGGGAACATCAGTCTCTTTCCTGATCCCTTTTTATCTTTTTACCCTCTTGCTCTCTGCTTTAAGATTCACTTATAATCCCTATGCAGATAATACCCCAGTCTACATATACATACCTGATCTCTCTCTCTTGAACTCAGTCCCACATTTCCAACAGCTTACTTTCCATCTTCACATGGATGTTTCATCAGCATATCAAACTTAATATCTAAAACCAGAACTCACTACCTGTATCCCTGAACCTGTTCCCTTTTTAAATGTACTTATTTCTATTGATGGCTCTGGTATAATCTATCCTTCTTACCCACATATTCATTCAGTTGCCAAGTCCTTTCAGTTCTATCTGCACAACTCTTACTTCTGTCTCCTTTCCAACCACACTTATAAATATAAAGAAAATAAACACATGAATACGAGTTCAGCCCCTCTCCACCTCTCACCTGTATATTGCAGTAACTTCCTGGTCCCTCCTCTCTCCATTCCATGCTCCACATACCTGCCAAAATAATCTTCTATAGGAACAGATTTAATCAAGTCATTTCCTTCTCAGAAATCTTTAGGAACTCTCTATTGAGTGTAGGGTAAAATACAAACTCATCAGCCTGGATTTTTAAGGCCTCCTACAAACTGACTTGCATCTACCATTCCATCCCTATTTCATATTTCTCTCTGTCTGGAATTATTCATTCTGTGTAGACCTTGAGCCCCAAGGGTCTGAGTAGGTTGCAAGGCATTAATGATTTAAAACACAAGTATACTCCTTAGTCTTCAATACCTGAACTGGGATAGGCTAAATGCACTGAGGCCCACTTTGGGTAGGGGTAGGGGTAAGAATCTAATATTAAAAGGTATAGAGGAGGAAGGGTAGCTCTTTGAATTTGACAAAATCTTTATTTTTCACAAAATTTATTGTTGTTATTAACTTAGGCTCATCCAGGTAGGTGGGAAATATGAAAAATCTAATCCTATATATCCTTACTGAATGTATGCTTATATGTCTTTGTTGGATGTTTATTTATGTATTTAGCTAAAGGTTGTTGTGTTTTGTTTTGTTCTTTTAATATGCCTCATTGATTCAAATGCCTCACATTGAGAACTTTGTATTTGAAGTCAGCACATTCCTGTCCAGAGACACTCCTCCATGCAAGAGTATGACCTTATATTGTTAGCATTTTTCATTGATGTGCATTTCTTTCACATGAGTTTCAAAAATGTCATAAACTTGGAATATTTTAGTATTGCCAATAGTGCCTTTTGGCAAATTTTATTGATCAACTTACCATCACAGTTCTCATTTATTAAATGGCTACTATATGTCAGACACTGTTTAAGGGTTGGAGGTAGAAATGCAAAGAATGAAGTAATCCCCATTTGCAAGAAACATATTCTAACAAGAAAGATAAATACATACCTAATTATTTACAGAATAAATGTGAAGAAAAAACACAAATAAATACAAAATAGTTAGATATAAGGTAATTTGGGAGGGAGAGCACTAGCAGTTGGGGGCATTAGGAAAAGCTATGAAGGTGGTGCTTGAACTGGGTCTTGAAGGAAGAGAGGAATTCAGTGAGGTCAAGAGGGAACACAAAGGTCTAGAGACAGAAGATGGAGTGTCATCATCATCATCATCAACAAGCATTTATTAAGTGCTTACTCTGTTGATTATTTCCAGTTTATCCTATATGTAACATGTCTTTAAGTAGCTGTTTGCATTTTATCTGCCCCATTAGACTATGAACTCCTTGAAATCAGGGACTTTGACCTTTCTTTGTATCCCCAGTGCTTAGCACAGTGCCTGGCACATAATAAGTGCTTAATAAGTGCCTGTTGACTAACTAGTGACTGAGAATTCATTCACTAAACATTTTCCAAGCACCTACTATGTGTTAGGCATTGTGTTAAATGCTGGGAATACACAGAGGCAAAAGCACTCTGCTCCCAAGAAGTTCACTAATGGAAGAAACAATGTACAAACAAGTGTGTACATAACAATAGTAAGTATACAGTGTAAATGGGAGGAAAACTCAGAGGAAAGGGCCCCAGCATGGAGGATTTGAGATGTCTTGAAGGGAGCTAAGAAAGCCAGGATGTGTAGGTGAGGAGGAGGAGCTTTCCAAGCATAGGAGGCAACCAATGAAAAAGTGCACTTGGAAGGTGGAACGTTATGCATGAGAAACCATAAGAAGACCAATAGATCTCAGAGGAGATTAAAGTGTAAGAAGCCTGGAAAGGGGGAAAGGGGTCCAGGGTGTGAAGAGCTTTAAAAGTCAAACTGAGGATCTTATATTTTATCCTGTGGGTAATAAACAGCCATTGGAGTTTATGGAGTAAAGAGGGTGACATTGTCACATGAAAGATCAATGGCACCTGAATGGAGAGATGGAATAGGATAGACGAGAGACTTGATGCAGGAAAAACAGACAACTTTTGCAATAATACTGTCATGAGATTATGAGGATCTGAACCAGAGAGAAAGGAGAGAAGGGGATGCATATTGGAAATTAGAAAGTAAACTAGAGAAAAATTGGCAAATGGTTGGATACATACAGTGAGCACAAGGGAAGAGGTCAAGATGTCACTGAGATTGCCAGCCTGGCTAACTGAGAGAATAGTGGTATTCTCAACAGTAATACTGAAGATGTGAAAAGGAGAGGGTTTGGGGGTGGGGTACGGAAGAGGGCTGAATTGTGTGGAAATTTTTAATTAAGTGAACTTTAAGGTAGGAGAGCTTGCTAAGCAATTGTGGTAAAAGAAAAGTCTGGAGATGGCAATGGGAAGTAACAAGTATTTCAACTCTCCCTCCAGAACCAGTATGTCAGGGGTGCCTGAGCGTTGAAGAAGGTGCCTAGAGGTACAGTTACATCAGGTGGGAGATAGTCTTATTGAAGACTAATAGATGAAAGGAGTGTCAGAGCAAGAGGTCTGGGATTTTGTTTACTATATGGCACAGTATTTCCCACAGTCCATGTTGGAAGGAGTGGGCTGGAGCAAAATATATTTGCAGAAGAGTTGATGGGGGGAGAAGGGTAATGAGGGAACAGAAGTTGGGGATTGAGGATAGTTTGCTCTTATGTGTCCAGTGACTGAATAATACAGGGTTGGGAAAGAAACAAGTGGTGGGAGATTGTTAGCTATAAGGGATAGAATTAGAAGGCAGATGAATAAAAAGGCTTATGGCCCTCAAGATAAAGGAGTATACTGTAACAGTAAAGCTCGTGGTGAGCTAGGTTGGAGAATGTCCCTTTCAAGGGAGGAAAAGTCCTGTCATTGCCTTCATGAGGTCATTTCTCCAAGCCTCGGGCTTCTGCGACTGAAAGTGTAATTCCCCTTCTGTCTCTTCCACCTCACAGTTCGTGCTGAGGGTTTGAGTTCCATTGATTTACAACCCATTTACACTCCCTACATGTTCCCGTCTGACCAATTTAATATTTATTTGTGTCACTCAGAATCACTATTAGGGCTTTAGCCGCTCTTCCTGAGCTTTTGGGTAAGGAACTCTGCTAACAACATTCCAAGCAAACTAGCCTCTCCTGGAACTTAGCATTCTAGCTTCTGTCTCTGCATTTGCACAGGCCTGGAATTTATTCTCTAGACGCTTCCACCATTCAGAATCTTTATTCCTATGTCATCTCTTGCGTCTGAAGAAGAGATGAGAAAATGCTGGTCCTGCCGGGCCATATGGGTATGAAACATTATATATACCGTCAGAGTGGTTTGATGTATTGGTTAGTTTGCTAAACTGCTTTTCCTCCCTGTTTTATTCTTTGTTACAGAAGATAGTTTGGCTGAGTAAAATTGAGAGAGAGAAAGAGAGAGAGAGAGTCAGAAAGGAAAATAATGTAAAGACAATAAATCAATAAAATTAAAAATTTTTAAATGAAGTGATCAGGTTAGATTTCCAAAATCTCTCCCATCTCTAAATCCTATGATTCCATGATTGGGAGAAGGGAACAGGAGGGTGGAATTACAGAATCACGATAACAATTTTTTTTTAATCTCTTTTCATTGATTCTAGATGGGTTGTAAATCAGTGGAACTCAAACCCTCAGCACAAACTGTGAGATGGAAGAGACAGAAGGGGAATTACACTTTCAGTCGCGGAAGCCCGAGGACAAATAAAAGGGAAATCCGGCATCCCGCCCATTCTCTGAATACCACCTTTCCCTCCACGATTTGCGGGCAGTGATTAGCGGCCCGCAACCTCCAGTGAGGCGCCTAAACCTCAGCCTTGGCCCTCGCCCAGCATCTTTCCCAGTCTTCCCCTGGCTTCCGAGAGAAAGATATAAGGCAAGTGGCTTTTGTCACAAGGGCTCTAACAGCTGGGTTCGGGCTGCAACACCAAGCCCCAGACTCTGCTTTGGCGTGGATAGGAAAGGGCTAAATTTTGCTGCTAAACAGCTCCGGGTTGCAGGGCTAATCATTCAGCTTCAGCCCTTCCCCCCTGCAAACTTTGGGCTGTTGTGACGGAAGCAGGAAGCAATTGCGTAGGATACAACTCCCCCCACCTCCTCTCCCCCTCCGACTTCGCAGGCAATCTTCCGCAGGGAACTGTTTTGGGGACTTTGCCACCCTTCTTAGTGACCGAGGGTATTTCAGCAACTAAGTTCTTCCTGCCCCAGGCTGCGCGCAGCATCAGGCTTTCCCTGGAATCCTTGGGCAAAGGTAACTGCGTCTCCATTCCTGGCTTTATAAGACCGCGCCCCCCTTCCATCTCCAATGACACTCACTAGGATCTGAGAAGGAAGCACCCCACTCCTTCCCTTGCTCCTCTTTCCCAGATCAGGCACCTGTCATTTCCAGGGGATCTAGCATCACACTCCATCAATTATTTATAATCTTAAGAGTTTTCATGTGGGGCCAGGAGGGGTTGTTGTATGAGTATGTGTGTGGAGGTGCGGAGGGGGTGGAGAGGAGGTGGGGTGGAGGTGAAGAGGTGGGGTGGAGGTAAGATTTGTGTGGGGTGGAAGCTGTTAAAAGGTTGATTTTTGCTCCATATATGGAAAAAAAAAACTTTTCTAAAAATTAAATCTGTCCAAAAGGGGCCTGGAAGATAGTGAGTAGCTCATCACTGGAAGTCTGCCAGCAGAATTTGGATGATCACTTTTTGGGGATGTCATAAAGAGGATTCCTGCTCTAATGTGATTTGTACTATAAAGTCTCTGAGGTCCCTTCCAAGTAGATGCTGGGATTCTGCAAACTACTTCAGCAAGCAATAGCAACAAGAGAAGAAGTCTAGGGATCAGAGGATCAAAGATTATGAACTGGAATACAATGCCCAATACCTGAGGCCTAAAATGGTTGTGACCTTCTTAAGGTCATACAAATAGTAACCTGCCAATAGGTATTTATTAAGCACCTACTATGTGCCAGGCTCTGTGCTAAGCATTGGAGATACGAAGAAAGGTAAAAGACAGTTCCTGCTTTCAAGGAGCTCACAGTCTAATGGAGGAAGCAACATGCAAATAACTATATTCAAATGAGACATATACAGGATAGATTAGAGATAATCAACAGAGGGAAGACAGAATTAAGGGGGATTGGGCAAAGCTTCTTATAGAAGGTGGAATTTTAGGTGGAACTTCAAAGCAAGAAGATGAAGAGGAGGAGATAATTCCAGGTAAAGTAGACAGCCAGTGAAAATTCAATGGAATCTGGAGATGGGGGATCTTGTTTGAAGTCCAGCAATGAAGCCAATGTCACTGGATTGAAGATTATGTATGTGTATGTGTGGGTGCAGAATGGTGTAAGGTATAAAGGGTGAGGTTGTGAAAGGCTTCAAATGCCAATTTTATATTTGATCCTAGAGATCATAGGGAACCACTGGAGTCTATTGAATGGGGGAAGGGTGACATGGTCAGACCTATGTTTTAGGAAGATTAGTTTGACTGCTGAGAAGAGAAAGGATTAGAATGGAGAAAGACTTTGAGGCAGGGAGACCAACCAGGAGGCTATTGCAGTAGTCTAGGTGTGAGATAATGAAGATCTGCTCCAGGCTGGTGGCTGTGTCAGAGGACACAAAATGGAATATATATAAAGTGAAGAAAATGGACCCCGCATGTATTAAGAATCAGGCCCATAGTGTGGCTAGAAGAGAGGTGTAATAGACATCTCTAGCCTCTTCTCCCATCACCCTTCTCTATAGAAGACTTTCATTCTTGCTGGGAGGGGAAGCAGGAGGTTGGGGCAAAAGGCCTCTCTGCTCTCTTCAGAGAGGGTGAGGTACCAGACTACTGTTATATCTATTTGCTCCCTTAAATATTGTTCATCCAGGGGACATGATCAGGTTCCATCTAATTTCTGATCACTTTGATATTTTGGGGGTAGGGACGACCCCAAACTCCATATCCAAAGTTTGATCCCTTTTCTACCTAATACTATTTTCATGATGAACACATAGTGAATAGCAAATTTTCCAAATTGTAGCAAAACAGAAACCAGAGAAGGTATACATAGGGGAATATATACTAGACAATAGAGATCCCATTTGGATTGAGATAACTCAGTTCAGTCAAGAGAAAGAGTCTTGGATCTCACTCATGGGAGAAGTTCACCGAAGTCTCTAGTGTAGCAAGCTGGGAATAGGGACATATTGGAGACTATTAGCTCTTTTCCTTCAGGAACCTGAAGTGAGGTTGCCCTCTTCCATCTTCTCTTAAATCTGAAAGCTGGGAGAGACTTGTCCGTAGAAAAAGACTTGAAGCTGTCTAAAGAGTCTTCAAAAGGGACTGGTAAAGGCTGGAGCTCTTTGCCTCTCACAAACTCTACTCCACCCTTCCCACCAGGCAGGGCATTCTTTTCTACCAATATGGATAAATCCCATACCAATGGGTCTTGAGACAGAGGTTACATTGACAGGAGATGTTATGAAAATAAACTCAACCAGATTTGGCCAAAGATTGGAAATGGGGGTTGGGGTAGAATGTGAGAGAGAATAAACCTCACAGTGTTGCATTGGTGTGTGCCTTTTTCCCAATAAGCTTTACAAGGAGATATGTAAAGAGACTTTCTGGCTCCTCTTCGTGCATTGTCATCAAAGAAAAAAAAAACTAAATGAGGGTCTGAGGTTAACAGGAATATTTTAATAAGCATATTTTTTTCTTATCTAGTTTTTAGCCTACTCCATCCATACAGAAGCTAGTAACTAAGTTATTATCTATAAAATGCTTATTGAAAACATTTTTATAGACCATGGGTTCTTATACTGTGGGTCCAGTCATACATCTCACACCCTGTTGTATTGTGGTATACAGTGCATTCCAGTAATTCAGTTCTCCAAAAATTTATTAAGCAAAGCTCTGTAGAAGGCCCTGTTTACAATCTAACGGGAAAGAGAACAAACTCATAAATATCTATGACTACTAAAACCTTCCTTTTGGCTTGAGTTTTAATCTGCTAGTAAAAGGCAATGATTCTTTGGTGGTAACACTTCAAATTAATTCATCCTAAGGTATCAATAAGGATCCTTAGATCTTGTTTGAGTTGACTTCTAATAGAGGTGATAACAAAGAGGAAGGTACATTGAGGGAAACACCATGGTAGCTAGAGGATCAATCTGGATTTGAACCATCATTCTGTTGCCTAACATTTATGTAATCTTGGGCTACTTACCTAAACTCTCTGGGTTTCAATTTCCTGACATGGAAAATGGATCTCTAAGGTCCCTTCCCATCTGCAATCTGGAGTGGGTTCAGGGTGTCATAGAAATCAGAGATTGGAGCACCAAAACCAGGTTTTTTTCTCCTATTCCAAAGTTTTGCTCAGGTCAATTTTACCTTGTACTCAGTTCACTAGTGTTTGCTTTTAAACAAGATAATAGATAACCAAGTAGTATTATTGGAAAAAGAGAAGCAAAAGAGAAAAAATAAAAGGTTCTGACCCCTAATTAGAAAGAGGTGGCAATGTATAGGCTAGCACAAGTAATATGCAGGACAGTCCTGAGAAAGAAAAATTGCCAAAATTAAAACCTTACCTCCTCACCCCAGAATGCAGTCATCATCATCATCATCATAATCTTTTATCTAACACTTACTTTGTGCCAGGCATGTGCTAAGTTTTTGAATGAAGGCAAATATTCAATTCTTCCCTTTCTTCCAGTCATGTGGAAGGAGAAACTAGAAAGAAAAATTTCCAATAATCCAAAGTAAATAAATATCTTTGCCAGTGCTTTTCTACAACATCTTTGTTTGGTTTAAGTATTAACAAGATGTAACAATATGTATTATGAAAGGCAGTATAGCAGAATTAATAGGAGGCCAGCCCTGACAGTTAAAAAGATCTGGGTTCAAGCTGCCCAAACATAGAATAAGATGCTTACCTCTCAGTGCCCCGAAGCAACTCCAATATAAAAGTCACAGACAAATTGACAATCTACAAGAGTGAAGGAAGTTTTCCCCACTGGGAGTTCTTTCAGTTGAAATATTAAAATATTCAGTTGGATCTGTGATCTCATTGATTTGGATTTTTTCTTCCAATGATATAAATTAAAACCCATTCATACCCACCTATTTCCTTTCCTTATTTTTGTAAATAATTTATGTAATATTGGAATTAATTGTTCCTTGACTGTTTGATAGAAGTTTCTTTTAAATCCATCTAATCTTGTTTTTCCCCTCTTTGGGAATTTCATTATTGGCTTATTCAATTTCTTTTTCTGAGGTTGACTTATTTAAATTCTCTTTCTCTTGTTCTGTTAATCTTGGTATTTTACATTTTTGTAAATATTCATCCTTTTCATGTTACTAGTTTTATTAGCATATGATTTCAAAATAGTTTCAAATATTTTCCTTTGTTTCCTTTTCATTTGTTGTGATTTTTTTCATTTTTAAGCATGGTAACTTGGTTTTCTTTTTCAAATCAAATTATTTAGCAGCTTATAAGGCTTACTAGTTTCTTAAAAAATCAGCTTCCAGTTTTGCTCATCAATTCAACATTTTTACTTTCTCTTTTCTATTTCTTCTTGGATTTTCAGAATTTGTAGTTTTGTCTTTAATTGAGCTTCATTTGTTGCTTTTCTAGTTTTTAAAGTTGTATACCCAGTTCATTGATGAAATGTAATTTTCTCCATAAGGACTGCTTTGGCCACATCTCAAAAGTTTTTATATATTGATATTTTCTTTGTTGAAATTATCAATTGTTGCTATGATATTTATTCTTTGACCTACCATATAAGTTTGCATCTTTTCTTCAAGTGTCCTTTACTCATTAAAATTTTTATTTTATTCTGGTTAGTAAATGATATATTCAGTATTTTTGTTTTTCTGCTTATGTTTATGAGGTTTTTGTGCCTAAGCATAGTTTTCTTAAAATGTGGCATATAAAACTGATGTACATATGTATACACACACACACACACACACACACACACACGGACACATACATAGACATATTCTTTTGTTTCCCATTCAGCAATCACCAGAGATCTGTTTATCAAATCTAACTTTTCTGAAATTTTATTTAGGTCCTTAATTTCTTTCACGTTTATCTTTTTGTTAGATTTGTCTAGATCTAAAGGAGGCATATTGAGATCCCCAACTATTTTAGTTTTGCTGTCTATTTTTCCCATAATTTGATTAACTTTTTCCTTTAAGTACTTAGATGCTATGCCATTCAGTGTGTGTATATATGTGTATATATAGTAATTGTATTATTTCATAATCTATGATGTCTTTATGCATAGTATAGTTTTCCTGCTTATCTTTTTTTAAATCATGGCAGTTTTTACTGCTCCCATGTCTGAGATCATGATTGTCACATCTGCTTTTTAAAATTTGCCTGAGGCATAATAAGTTATGTCTCAGCCCCTCATTTTAACTCTGTGTGAATCTTTATGTCTCAAGCATATGCCTTACTAACAACATCTTGATGGAGTCTGTTTTCTAATCCATTCTGCTTCCCTCAGCTTTGTGGGTATATTCAAATTCACAGTTGTGACTGTTAATTGTGTATTTCCTGCCATAATACTCTCTTTTACTTTATCCTCTCTTTGTCTCCCACTCTATTCTTTGCAAAGAAGAAGGTGGCAAAAGAAAAAGGAATGTGATCAACACTAGTAATCTATAATTGAGTTGGTCTTCCCCTACTCCTCTGACCTTCTTTCTTCCCGTAGTCAACACTGTTATGATTGGTTCTTGTACTTTTTCTTATTTTAATCTTCCCTTTGAAGTTGAAATTTGTTTTCCTGTGACTCTTCCCTTGCTCACTCCACAGTCTTGCATGGTGTGAGCAGGCCCTGTCTGATCCTGTTCCTGGCTGTCATTGTTGCTATCTGACCAAAGTTCTGGATGGGGTGGCTGGGACTGGGTCTGGCCCTTTCTTGCAATCCCAGATATACATGAAACCAGAAGGAAAGGGGTTTTCTACATCAATAGTGTCAAACTCAAACAGAAATGGATCCCTGTTGGCTGCATATTGACTTAGAAAACCACAAATTAACATTATCTTTATTGTATTGTATTTTAAAATGTTTTCTGTTAAACATTTTCCAATTAGGGAAGTACTTGGTAGTTTTATAGACACCTATAGCCTAAGCTGACAGTTTGACCTCCTGCAGTACAATAATGAAATCATAGACCCAAACCAAACATAAATCATGTATTGGTGCTAAACATCTTCTGGGTTTCTATAACTAATTTGTTTCAGGTACATTCCTCACAATCTAATAATCAAAGTAGATGAACTTGCTACTTTCTGTCATGACCACCAATAAATTGATAATTTTCTCAAGTCTGAATTAAATGGAATTTTTCTTAGCTATATTTGCTAAAGGAAGCCCTTTCTGATTATTTTTTTTACATTTGTTCCAGAGCTACAGAGTTCCAGAGAGTTCCATTAAGCATTGCTTCTGAAGCAATAAGAAAATCAGAGAGCTCATCATCTTTGAATTTTGAAAGCTGAGCCTTAGTTAAAATCATAAATGTCCTTCAGAATAAAGTTGGGGCTGACTTATGCTTTTGTAATGATTTGTACTTTGATGCCAATGCAATCGATCAGTCTGAGTTGCCATACCAAGAGCCTAGAAGATGTTGTGATTGACATCCAGTCATCTCTTGCTAATGGAATCAGAGGCATTGAGCCCATACATACAGAAACTCAAGAAGATTGCATTAATTTTGGCTGTTTGACCAAAAACATAACAGGTAAAAATGTTTTCTTTGGTTTTGTTTCCACCATATATTATTTCACATAAGTAAATATTTGGGATTACCAAATAACAGGTGGTGCCTAAAAGGTTAGGCAGCTAGGTGGTGCAGTGGATAGAGTACTGGGCCTGGAGTCAGGAAAAGTAATCTTTCTGAGTTCAAATCCGGCCTCAGACACTTACTAAGCTGCACGGTCCTGGCCAAGTCACTTAACCTGTTTACCTCAGTTCCTCATCTATAAAATGATCTAGAGAAGGAAATGGAAACCCATTTCAGTGTCTTTGCTAAGAAAACCCCCAAATGGGGTCACAGAGAGTTGGACACAACAGAAAAAATGACTCAACAACAAAAAGGTTGAAAACTAAATTCTCTACTAACTTAGACAATTAATTTTCAATAGACAGTTTTTAGAATATCCCATTTTGTTGTAAAACAAAAAGTGTGGTGATACAGAAAAAATTGTGAATAGTATCCTCAACTAGAAAAAGAATCTTTGAGCCTTAAATAAAAAAGAAAAGACATCGTGTCTTAAGGAGGTATTTGTTGAAGCTCAAAGCAAAATCAGTAACACTTTTACTAAAGCTATATAAAAAAATAAAGCCAAAGGTTATGAAACTTCAGAGAGACCTGGAAGGAGACAAAAGAAAAAAGTAATTTAAAAAAAATACTCTTTGGTACAATGTGTACAATAGACTAGTGATCCCAACACTTTAGGATCTAGAGAAGTCCCAAGTCACTTAATTACCAAAGACAGAACAGATGTGAAAAACTTTCAATCTGTTGAGAAGGAGAAAACTAGAATATTATCTTAGGTTTGTTTGACTGAGGAATGAGGAGGCAGAATCATGTGATAATGTGAAGTGAGGTGGTAAACCTCATGGGCAGGTGTTAAATGTATTTAATGTCTTGTTTGTTGAGTGACTAAGAAGGAGGATTAAGCAGTAAGTACTGACTGATAAATGGAAACCTGACTGCCTATAGAACCACCCCAAATATTCATTCTGTAAACATCTTTTCAACTCAATATGCATTTACTAATGTACCATATATAAGACATTATGTTAGGTAAAAAGTCAGAAATGCAACAATTTTTACTCTTGTGGAGTTTACATTTTACTGGGGGAAATATAACTCCTTTACAAATAGATGCAAGGTAGTTTGAGAAGAGAGATAAATCCACACTGGTATCACGGTTGGTTGTTGTCCTTCATTCTCAAAGAGGACCACAATGACATCATTATGTTGAAGTCAAGCTACGGTATATCTGACTGTGAAGGCTCTACCACAGGTCGGGCACAAATAGTCCACATAATAGTATTATAATAATGTAAGAGAAGGCTTTGTACAGAGGAGGTAGCATCTGAACTAAGCCTTGAAGGAATCTAGGGATTATAAATGGTGGAGGTGAGGTTGGAGGGCATTAAAGACATGGTGGACTGCTTCTATAAAGGCATGGAGAATGGAGGTGGAATATTGAGTTTGGTGTACAGCTGATAGAGCTGTTTGGCTGGAACATCGGGTGCAAGAAGAAGAGTAGTATAAAGTTGGAAAGTTAAATTGTAGGGTGCCAGGCAGAAGAGTTTGCATTTTATCATAGTGGTAATAGGGAGCCATTATAGTAGAGAAATGACGTGGTCAGGGTAAGAGCAGCTGAACAAAGTCTTGGTCTCTTCACCTGTTCCTCCAGGTTAGTTGGTAGATATTACAACCTGCCCCCACAATCAGAAGATAGCCAATGGCCAGGGTTTTAGTTGACCCTACCTGCTCCTCCAGTCTTTGTGGCTGGGGGCAGAGTGAGTGGTATTATATTAAAGTCCCTGGCCAGCACTGGACACCTTAGTGAATGTGGGAGGTGAGGAAGAGAAATGAGTTGAGAATGATTCCAAGTTACAACCTTGAGTGGGGTAGGAACAGCACTGCTTTTATTTCAACTGAGTTAGTTTCTCCTTAAAGAGGGAAAGGAGGCTGCCCTTGGTATTTGATTGACCCAGAAGACTTGGGTTTTAATTATTGGTTTGGGTCCTTTGCCCCCGAAGCATAAAAACTCCAACCTATGGATAATCAGAGGGCTCCAAAGGTTTTAGTAGAATTCTCATTGATTACCCTAGGAGGATGCCTTCCTGGACAAGTATTGCCAATTGCTATGGTGAACCTAGAGGTAAAGGAGAGTAGTGTTTTATTTAAATTTAATTAGGAATCATGCCCTTTTAAAAATCTTATCACATTTTAAAGTTTTTGTATTGCATTTTTTCACAAATGCCTCATTCTAATCCTGAGCCTGAATCATTGGTCTAGACTGAGCTAGGCCTGGGCCAGAATATAGGGTATCTGGAAGGACGAGGTATTCTCAACAGAAATAGGAAGGTTTGGGGATTGTAGATACCAAGTTCTATTTTTGACATGTTGAATTTGAGAGTTTGATGGGACAAACAGGTGGAGATGTCCAGCAGGCAATGGGTGACAGAGGACTGAAATTCAGGAGCTAGATTAGGGAAGGATATAAAATTTGGGAATAATTTGTATAGAAATAATAATGAAACCCATGAGAACTGATGAGACAACTTAGAGAAAGGACAGGACCCTGGACAAAGCCTTGGGGAGATATCTGTATTTAGTGGATGTATCCAAAACAGAAAAAAATGAAAGAATCAGACAAGAGTATCACATAAAAGTGAAAGTAATAATAATTAACAAATATTTAACACTATGATAATAAGTATTTAATAATTTAAATAATTAAGTGCCTTATTTCAACAGTAAAATTATTAAAAAGAAGATTATTAGTAATATGAGAAGTGAATACATATATAACACTAACAGGATACTTTAATGTTTAAAAAAGTAATAAAGAAATTACATATCTAAGTTGCTTATTTTTAAAACTCTAAATAACATATATAGACAGAATTAAATGGAAGAAAAGAACACATACTTTTCAAGCACACATAGAACCTCTACAAACCTGATCAGATAAGCCCTTTTCAAATTCAAAAGATTAGAAATTTTACATGCTGTATTTCCAGAGTACAATGCAATAAAATTAGAAATAAATAACAATAATATGAGTACACTACACAGAACTACATGGAAACTAAAAACAATGATTATATTAAAGAAGAAAATAAAAATGACTGAGCATTTAAAAGAGACTGTCTTCAATAGGTTCACATGTTAAAATCTATGGAATATTGTCAAAACCATTCTTCAAAGCAAAGTTTTATCCTTGAGTGCCTATATTAATAAGAGAAAAGGAAAAGAGAAATTAATTAAGCCTGTACCTAGAAAAGGAACAAAGCAATATTCTACAAGAGAGTTAAAAAGAGTGAATAAAATAGGAAATGAAAAAATAATTACAGTGACAAATAAAATGAGCTTTTTAAAAGAATACCAGTAAAACTGACAAATTATTAGCAAATTTAATTTTTCTAAAAGGGAAGAGAAAAGAGGATTAAAGGGGAAGTTGCAAAGAGGCAGATTTGGGCTTCATATGAGGAAAGGCTTCCTAACATTTGGAGCTATGGAGAAGTATAAGGGACTGCCTCAGGAAATAGTGGGTTCCCCTTCAATGAAGCTCCTCAAGCCAAGATTAGATGATCACTTGTAGAGTGTATTGTAATGAGAATTCTATTTCAGCTATGGGTTGTACAACACATTCACGGAGGTCTCTTCCAACTCTGAAATTTTATAATTCTGTACAGAAAGAGGCAATGAGGTGGCATGAACTGATTGCTCTGCTCCAATCCATCTTTTGGGCTCTTTCAGTGGTCATGGGCTTGGTCCTTTCAGTTCTTCTACCCTAGTTGAAAATTAGATATGGCCATTCACAGAACTTGGATGAATACATCCTTGTCAACTGTAGTCCTTTCAGTAAAATAGAAGACCACTGGGCCTTGGCAGGGTGGGGGTGGGGGAGAGGAGGCAGGGTTATTTATTTTTTTATATTAAGCACCTACTATGTGCCAGACACTGACCTAAGTGCTTTACAAATATTATTTTACTTGATCTTCCCAACAATCCTGTGAGATAGGTACTGTTATGATTCCCATTTTAGGAAATGAGAAACTGAAACAATCAGAGGTTAAATAATTTGTCCAGGGTCACATAGGAAACTGAAACAATCAGAGGTTAAATAATTTGTCCAGGGTCACATAGCTAGTAAGTTGTCTGAAGGTGCATTTGAACTGACGTCTTCCTGACTCCAGGCCACCTGGCTACCTCTGTCTTACAACAGTCCTGCCAGTATATCCTCTGGATCCCCAGGCATTGATATCTGCCCTTTTGCTTACTCATGTCAGATCCCCAAGTATTGCCATCTGATTTGCCAGTACACTCTAAAGATCCCTAGGTCTTGCAATTTGTTCTGCTTTTGAACCCTCCAATATATGTTGTCTCTCCCAATTAATAATATGAATTCCTTAAGAATAAGGACTGTCTTGTTTTTCTATTCCCCAGCACTAAATATGGTGCTTAGCACATGGTAAATGTCTAATAAATCCTTTTTTTTTTATTCGTTCATCAATCACTTAAAGGCAACAAGAATCATTTCATGAGACACTGGGTCATTTTCCCTTGCAATTCTCATGATAAGCATAAGTAAAAATATTATCATGGAGATAATTGTTGTATATCCCCCAAAAGGTGTTGCAAAGGACATAAAGGTAGAGAAATAATTGTTTGTAGACTATATCAAAGCTGCTCCCTGAAGCAAAAGCATAGTTATCTAACTTCAGTGTTCTGATAATACTATATGGTTGCAAATCATAGGATATTGTAACTCTGAGATGTGTAGGACAATGTAAGGATATACGGTGGGTGTTAAGTATGCTCCTGAATATTGCCACTTATATCTTGCAAGCAAGAAGGTGAAGTAATGGTGTAATCCAATCCAAGACATATATGATTGAAAAAGGAAGTTGGCCAATCATTTAGTAAGAGTGGGAGCTATCTGATGCACTGGCACCTGCTGAAGGTCTCTAATACATCGTGTGGATCTTCTGCAGAATATTTATAGGATACCATGAACAAGATAAGAAGGTTTAAATGCAATGCAAACTTTAGGGAGTGCCAGTATCCATGGAATCACATATTTCTGCCATGAGGAATGAAATATGTTTTATTGTCTATCCTTCAGGACTGTCATGGGTTGGTTTTTCAATCATTCAGTCTGGTTTCCATTTATAGATAAATTCATTTACATTATTGCAGTCATGGTGTATATTCTTTTTTTGTTTCTATGTATTTCAGTATGTTATCAGTTCTTGCAAATCTTCCCATGTTACCTCCATACACAGGACCACCATTTATTCAGTCACATGCTACTGGATGAATACTCAGTTTGTTTCCAGTTTTTTGCTACCACAAGTGAATAAAGTATATTAACATACTAGTATATCATAAATCAATTAAGATAGATCAGTATGAGAAGTATAAACAAATCTAGAAAGACCATTAAGAATTAGTACAAAGGAAAAATATACCATAAGAACAGAGTACACACAAATTACAGCCATATAAAAGGACTAAGTGATTGAGAGTGAATGGATAAGCAAAGCTGATGTAGACCTAGAGGAAATTACTGACACCATTATGGGTATTTTATGAGTTGAAATTAATTACTCAAATCTAAGTAGTTGCAAGTTTATTTAATTTTACTGATATTTAGTTCTACATTTGTAATAAATAATCTGATAAAAATGAACAATAAAATTCACTTTACTTTTATAAAAGGAAAAGAAATGATTTAACTGTCTTGGTTGTGAACAAAGATGATTATGTGAGAATATAAAATACATATGCTTTTTCCTGCTCAGTCTGCCATAGTAGCATAAGAAATTGCATATGCTTACTGACTTATGTAAAATATTTAATTTAAGTATTTCATTGTAGGGAACAAAGAGTGTAATTTGATCATCTTTGACACGCGAAAGGCAACTAAACAACCAAATTGCTACTTGTTTTATTGCCCCAGTGAAGAAGCTTGTCCGTTGAAACCAGCAAAGGGAGTTATGACTTATAGGATAGTGAAAGGTAATGTAACTTTTTAAAAAATTAAATAAGCCATTCATGTCTATTATTTTTTCTTTTTTAATTTTTAATAAATTTATTTATTTTTAGTTTTCAACATTTACTTCCACAAGATTTTGAGTTCCAAATTTTCACCCCATCTCACCCCTGCTCCCACCCCAAGATGGCATGCATTCTGAATACCCCTTCCCCTAGTCTGCCTTCCCTTCTATCTCTCCCCCCACTTCTCTTAACCCCTTCACCTTTTATTTTCCTGTAGGGCGGGATAGATTTTTGTACCCCATTTCCTGCATTTCTTATTTCCCAGTTGCATGTGAAAACATTTTTTTAAAACATGTGTTTTTTTAAACATGTGTTTTTAAAACTTTGGGTTCCAAATTTTCTCCCTTCCTCTCTCCCCATCCACCCTCATTGGAAAAGCAAGCAACCCAATATAGGTTATACATGTGCAGTTATGCAAAACACTTCCATAGTAGCATGTCTATTATTTCTTTACTTTACTTTATTTATTTATTTATCTTTGATTTTACTTCCATAGTTTGATAATGTGTTTAAATCCCCAAATATATGAATTTAATTGTCATATTGCTTCATTCTTATAAATTGAGAAACATATTTATTGTTCATCTTTCCATTCATCAGTAGGTAACATCCTTATCTGTCTCAATGTTTTCTAGTTTGAATTCCACTTTATAAGATACCATTAGTACCATTTGCATTTTTCTTAAAGTTGCATTTGTATATTTTATTTTAGATGAAACTTTTAAATTTCAATCTAGCTATATCCTTCCTATAACTTTTTCTTTTAATGGGATAGCTCAGAACATTGACATTTATTGCTACAAGCAATAATTCTGATTTGTCTTCTGACATTATCTTGATGTTCTTAATGTTTTCTGGATATATTGAAATCTATTTTAATCTCCTATGTCTGTTTCAACTATTATAACTAGTTAACAAAATATACTATATTTATTTGTTTTTTTAGATGATTATTATAATTCCGTGAAATTTAACCCTCTTTTTATTATACAAAGGATCTTTGACTTTGGAATTTTCAGCTGTCTCTTTTGTCACTTCTTATTTATCGTTTTTTCTCATTTGTGTTAAATGCTTTTTAGTAAATGTCAATATATTTGAGTGTGCTTTACATTTTGTGTTAATCATAATACTTAATTTGAACTCAAACTCTAATTTGATTACTTCTACTACAGTTAGAAAAATGTTGTTTCCCTTATTATATATAATACATATGATGTACATATATAAAATATTAACTACATGTAAAAAAGCTCAGAGCATTTTATTATTTTGTTAGGAACTTATTTGGAGCTCTTCATTTAGAACTTTTGAGGATATCTTTAAGCTATAGATTTAAAATGTAATTTTTTTTTGATGCATAGGTTTTTTTTAAAGTTTCTTTGTAATTCTGAAATCTAGCAATTATATATTTAAGTTAAGATTACTTCTTATTGGGGGGAATACCTGTATTCTAATTGCAGTGTTGTTTGATCTTGTCTACCTGGAAAACTTTCTCTAATTAATAATAATAGCTAGTATTTTTATAGCTCCTTATTTTTTATAAAATTTTTAAAATTTTTAGTTCCAAATTCTCTCCTATCCTCTTCCCCTTCCTCCACCCATTGAGAAGGCAAGAATTACAACATCATTTGTGCATATGAAGTCATGCAAAACATATTTCCACATTAGTCATGCTCAGGGAAAATAAGAAAAAAAAGAAAAAGAAAAAATATGGTTCAATTTATACTGAATTCATCAGTTCTCTATCTAGAAATGGGTAGTATTTTTGGTCATGAGTCCTTTGGAATTATGGTGAATCATTGTATTGGTCAGGGTTACTAAGTTTTTCACAGTATTATCTTTACAGTATTGCTGTTACTATATAAATTATTCTTCAGGTTCTGATCACCTCATTCTGCATCAGTTCTTAGAGGTCCTCCCAGGTTTTCCTACAGCACAATACTATTACATCATATTCATATACTATAACTTGTTCTGCCATTCCCACTTGATGAGTATCCCCTCAGTTTTCAATTCTTTGCCACCATAAAAAGAGCTGCTATAAATATTTTTGTACTAGATTCTTTTCTTTTTTGTTTGTTTTTTGATTGCTTGTTTTTTGGTGTATAGACCTAGTAGTGGTATGCACAGCTTTATAGCCCTTTGGACATAGTTTTGGACAGGTTAGACTCACTCACAGATCTGCCAACAGTACATTTAGTGTACTAATTTTTCCACATTCCCTCCAGCATTTGTCAATTTCTTTTTCTGTCCTGTTAACCAAACTGCTAGGTGTGAAGTATGGTACCTCAGAGTTGTTTTAATTTGCATTTCATCACTTAAAGCATTTTTCACATGATTATTTATCTTTGATTTCTTCCTCTGAAAACTGCTTTTTCAATATCCCTTGACCAATTATCAGTTAGGTAATCTATAGCTCTTTAAAGTTTGCAAAGCACTTTACATGCATTATCTCATTTGATCGTCACAACAACCCTGAGAGGTAGGTGCTGTTATTATTCTTATTTTACAGATGAGGAAACATGTTAAGCAACTTGTCCATGGCTAGTAATTGACATGGCTAGTAAATGTCTGAGACTACATTTACACTTAGTTCTTCTTGACTCTAGGCCCACTTTGTGGGCTATCTACTTGTGCCATTTAGCTGCCCATTAGTTAATTAATAGAATATCTAGTTTTCTTTGTCATATATATTTTGTCATTATATTTCTTTGTCATTATATTAATCCAACTAATCTGATATTTGCATTTTTAAAATTTCCAAATCTATTACTTTATCCTCCATATCCACAGTTAATTTTTTCAGTATTATTTCATCTAAACTTGTTCTTAAGTTTAATTTTTGATACCTATTATTCTTTGCTTGTCTTCCTTTATTCTCTTATTTTTCACTTACACTAAGGTTTTTAGTTCTTAGACGTCATTTTACAGTTTCCTTTGTTGTTCCTTCATCTCTTGTAGTATGTTTCTTTTATTGAATTAGATACCTCTTTTTATTTATTCTATATTTTTGTGATCCAATTTATTGAATCATTTCATATTTCTTCCATCCCTCCACTGAAGGTTCAACATGCATTTCTGAAGAAATTTTATCTCTAGGATCTCTTATTTTATAGGATTTATTTTTTAAAATTTACTATTAAAATTTTCTTTTCAGGGATAAGAGTGGTAGAAGGGGTAGAAGAAGGGTAGAACTGATTACTTAAGTATGTTAAATGAAGGGCACTATGCCCTGGGGTGGGGAGCAGGGAATCCTCTCATCATTAACAGGGGGGTTTCTTATGCTTTACAGTAGGATGGGAAAATCAGAGCAGGAAATCCATCTTCCCCCCTTTTTTCCAGCTGGACAGGGAATCCTTTCAGTATTAGGAGAGGAAAGGAATTCTTTTCACTTTAGGGAGTGGCAAAAGGGTGGCAGTAGGAATTCCTCAAGAAGTATAAATGAAAAGGTAGCAGAGAAGAGTGAAGATGAGGCTTTCAGTATTAAGGTTTTAGGGTTAAATTTGGGAGGAAGTAGGGTCAGTAAATTTAGGATTAGGATTAGGGACATTATTTTAAGAGGCATTTAGGGTAAGGTTAGGGATAGGAATTAGGAATAGTGTTAGAGTTAGCTTTATTCTTTGGGGAATTAGAGCTAGGTTAGAATTAAATTTATTGGGAGACATAAGGAAAGGTGATAATAGAACTAAAGATTAAGAGGGCTAATTCCCTGATCAGGATCTATGCGCAACATTTGCATCACAACTTCTCTTATATTGGCTCTGTATTTGTTGACCTAGTGTTATGTATAGTATGAGAACAGCCTTCCTAATACTATTGTTCTATAAGAAATGATGAGCAGGCAGATTTCAGAAAAACCTGGAAAGATTTACATGAACTGATACTGAGTGAAGTGAACAGAACCAGGAGAACATTGTACACAGTAACAGAAACATTGTGTGATGACCAACTTCGATAGATTTAGCTCTTCTCAGCAATATAATGATCTAAGACAATTCCAAAGGACTCATGATGGAAAACGCTATCCACATCCAGAGAAAGAACCATGGAGTCTGAATGCAGATTGAAACATACCATTTTCTCTTTCTGTTTTTGTTTTTTCTTTCTCGTAGTTTTTCCCTTTTGTTCTGATTCTTCTTTCACAACATTTCTAATGTGGAAATATGTTTAATATGACTGTACATGTACATGTACAGCCTATATGAGATTGCATACTGTCTTGGGGAGGAGGGAGGCAAAGGTGGGAGAAAAAAATTTGGAATTCAGAATCTTATAAAGTGAATGTGAGATACTAAAAAAAATGAATAAATTCTGCTTTCTACAAAGAGAGAGAGAGAGAGAGAGAGAGAGAGAGAGAGAGAGAGAGAGAGAGAGAGAGAATGACCCTCCTAGTTTATGGAGAATTGGGGAAATTGGGCGGGGAGATGGTAATGAATCATTCTGCTTGGTGCATAAAGAGTGGTAACATGCCTGAATTGTGCATCTGTACAGTATAGATCCAAAAGAAGAAACTATCATCAGGAAGCTAAGTGGCACAGTGTCTAGTATGAGACTTGGAGTCAGGAAGACCTGAGTTCAAATCCAAACTCAGTTATTTAATAACTGTGGGAGCCTGGGCAAGTCACTTAACCTCTCTTCCTCAGTTTCCCCAACTGTAAAATGGGTATAAAAATAGCATCTCCCTCTCAGAATTGTTTTGACTACAAAATTAGATAATATTTTAAAGCATTTTATAAACCTTAAAAGCATTATATAAATGCCCATTATTATTATAATTATAATATTTCTCCTCTGGGTAATTTTTACCTTTCCCCCCTATTTTCTCTCTCTTTCCTTCTCTATTTTTGCCCCTATTCATCCTTCCTTTCTCTTCTTCCCTCTTTCTTCTCCCCACTGTAGGATAGGGATGTAGTTAGTTATTGCTCCTCTTCCCTTTCTAAGATTTTGGTATAGCTGGCTCCCTTACCGTCTTACTAGTCACCCATCTTGCAGGAATTTTCTTCAGGTTATTCTTTCTGTATTCCTTTAAAATACATATTAAAGGGATTAAATTATATAAAGATTTCCACAAGTGAAGAACAGGACAATCCTATTAGTTGAAATCAAGTGAATTAAGAAACCATAGAAGAGAATTTTCTCACATAAGGTGTTTGAATGATACTTAATTTTCACTTTCCAAGAATAAGTATATACACACACACACACTCATATGCCTATTTCTTGATTAGAAACTATTTAATGAAAACATTTTTGGAACTCCTTTTTGAACAATAACAGAATAATTAGAATTATTTCATAGCTTCCACACACATTTGGATACATGTGATATGTTTGATTTTTAAACATTTTTATATTTAATATTTATATTAAATATTAATATTCGTATTTAATATTTTTATATAGTCATACTTTGAGTTGTCTGATATCAAATTAACAAAACAAAACCTAGAGGCTTCTACTTTTAGTGAATATTTATTAGATAATTTCTCAAATAGGACATTTTTATATCCTGCAAATTTACCATTGCCAAACTAGCCCCTGCCTCCTTCCCCTTTCCCCCTAACTAAAAATTCATTGGTTGTTTTTGTTTTGTTTGTTTTTTTACATTGAAAGGAAGTGGTCAGAATAAGTTAAGTCAGAACTGTGCTAGATGGCCCTTGAGGTCCTTTCTAATTCTGTGATTTAACAAGGACTGTTTTTGCTTTCTCTATCCATTTCTAGCACTTAACACAGTGCCTGACACATATTAAGCACTTAATAAATGTTTATTGATTGACTGATTGATTTGGTGAAGGCAATATGCGACCAGATATTTGTAGGTATAGGCTATTTGCAAGTCAGCTGTAAAAAGAATATTGAGAAATTGTATCCCTGATTCAAGGAAAGGGGACCATGAGACATCATTATTCATACCTTATTTAGTATTGATTACTCTTCTCTTCACAGTTCATCCATATCTGCCATTCAATGGATTTTTGTAAACTTCATTTTGATGAAGTAAAAAAGTTGAGTCAGAACTAAAGTGCTATCGAATTTTAAAGAATCTCCAGTCATTTATCAGTGGATTTTAATTATGTATTGTGTCAGTAATTCCTCCTGCTGACATTAGTGAAAGATTTCCCCACTCATTTTTCCAGCACTTTGCCTACTCAAGTTAGCTGTATGGCACTGGAAGGCAAGGCCACACTATTCCTTATTCCCATGAAATCTCATTTTCATTTATTATCTGTGAATGTCTCTATTTCATAGATTGATAAATGGTTAACTTTTTAAGCTTCTTTTGCAAGAAAATCCTTAAATATTCTTTTATTTTCTGTATACTTGCAGATTTTTCTCCTTTGCGCAAAGCTGATTTACCACATCCAGATGCAACCCCAAAAAGTTATTACTTGACTGGAAAATCTTCACAAGAAGTCATGGATCCTGCACAGCTGACAAATCAACTGACCCATACTAATATTTTGCCAGAAGCTACAGTTTCTCAGAAGCTTGACTTCCAGGATAACTTGGGGAAGGCAGTAAATAAGAGTGATGAACTGAGTTCACAGCTTCCTGTATCCAAAAATAAAGGGCATCTTCAGAGCTCAGAGCTTTCCTTGAAACAAAAAGTAGCTAATGTATTATCTGAAAATGTAATTGTATTTCCATCTAAGGCAGCTGCTACATCTCAGTCCATTGTCTCCACTACTCCAGTACCTGCTACTTTGCAATCTACTATCCCTCCTCTGATGCCTTCTACAATTTCCCAGAAATTAGATGTTCCTTTGAAAGTTACCACTGAGCCTCATCCTACAGTCTTCACTACTCTTCATCCTGTTTCTACTACTACTGCTACTCCCCCACAGCCCCCCACTCCCACAATTTCTACAGCTTTTACAGCCACTATAAGCCAGCCTACTGTAACAACAAAAACAGCTTCAACTACAATGCCCAGTGCAGCGGCAAGCATGAAAGTCATTTTAGAAACAGTGCAGTTTAAAAAAACCACCAATTATTCAATTTCTAACAAAGATGATTTTAAGTACTCTTTGACATTTCCATCATCAAGTGTTGATTCCTTTGCTGTAAATAAAACTCTTTCCCCTGAAAATGGGAGGCTTGGTTTGGACAACCCCCAACTCGATAATGTTCCAAGAAACAGATTTCATCTTCAGTTTGAAAAGTGGACACTCGTAGGCACATTGTTCTGTGGACTGTTGTTTTTAGTAATAGGTCTCATACTATTAGGCAGAAAGCTATCAGAATCCCTTCAGAGAAAAAAGTATTCCAGACTAGATTATTTGATCAATGGAATCTATGTTGATATTTAAAGAGGAAAAAAGTGCCTTTGATTCTTAGCCAAGCAACTAGAAAACCCAAATTATTCCTTATCTGTTAGCTTCCAGAAGATTATATTTTAGAGACTAGCCCTTGCTAGTGTCATTTAAAAAAAAAACAGAAACTGATTACATTTTAGAAACTAGCCCTTGCCAGTGTCATTAAGAAGAAAGAACAGAACTGAACCAGTTAACTTCAGAAATTTGATTAAAATATTGAGTATACTAAAGTGCTACCAAAATACCACAGAACAATTAGTACATTAAAAAACAACAACTCAGTTATAGAAGAAAAAATGTTGTGACTTTGGGATCCTAATAAAATGATATTTCTGATTCCAGATAAGATCAACTTTGTCATGAAAGTTCTTTGAATATAATTATATTTTTTGTATTAGCCTTTAAACACTATATAAAAAATTTGAACATTTTACCACTTAAATTTGTTTCTAATCAAGAATTAAATAAATCTGTTGACCCTGAGAAGTATATCATCATGTTCAGTTCTATATTTTTAAAATTATCCCTATCAGCCAAGTTATTAATTGATTAAAATTTGTATCATGTTTTAATGACAAATATACCTAATTGTACATTGTGATATATTCTTAAGAGGTCATTTTGCAGGCTAGCTCAGCTTCATTACTTGCCAAAAGAGCTTTTGGGGCCATTTTAATGTATGGCAGTCAAGGGGCTACATAAATTACTTCTATCTTATTTGAGTTGTGTTTCATTGGGAAAATAAAAAGTTTTCCAAATTTATATATGGACTAACATTATTAACTTTGATGTTTATGAAATTTTAATGTAAACTTCACCAGTTGTAGGCTTAAATATGGAAGCAATTTTATAAATCTGGTCCAAACCCCTAAATTTATAAGTGAGAAAAAAGCAGGCCTAGAGAAGTTAATTGAATTGTCCAAAGTAATATAGCCAGTAAGTGGAAAAGTTGGAATTAAAATAGAGATCTGCCTCCATATCCATTTCTCCTTCAACTATACCATGCTGCCTCTCAATTCAAACTTCTGGAGAACTATGTGTCAACAGTTAATTGGGTGATCTTAGAGAGATGGCTTCATTTCTCTGGGTCTCATTTGTAGGATGAGGCAGTTTGACTATACTAGGGATTTCAAATCCAAGATGGTAATCCTAAATTTATATCATATGGCTTTTTATTCAAAAGAAATTTGATCAACAAAATTTTGTTGAGAAAAGCAAAGATTTAGATAGAAAGAGTTAAAATACATTAGAGAAACTTGAAGCAAATATGCAATTTGGATTTGAGACTTTTAGACTTAGATAACTTCCAAATTCCTTTCTAGGTCTTCTTCTACATTAGAAATAATGTTCAGGGCTTTAAAAAAAAAACAACCCTGATTCTTAATTTGTTGGCAATGCTTTGATTCCTCGGAATACAATAGTGCACATTGCTATTTACATAAAATGCTTTATCAAGAAAAATTTGCCATGTATTTTAGTTAATTGTCTTGCCTGTTTTTTTTAAATCTGTAAATATATATTTAAACTTTCAAGCATGAACACTAGAGGACAGTAGTATAATAAGTACAGTTAAGAGCACAAGGAGGAAACCACTCAAATGAAACCTATTCCTTTTCTTCTCTATATGGAGCGCCTATTGGAAGGGAAACTTGTTTACAGCTAAGACCCAATTAGTGTGAATAATGAATCCCGTGGTCACATTATTTGCATTCATACTGTATTTCAAACAAAACTTTTAAACTATTTTTCAGCTGAATGGCTTGATACAGATATTCACTGGCTTTTTGTAAACTTAAAGCAATTTCATGAAATAAAAAGTTGAATAAGAACCAAAATATCATTGAATTTTATTCTCTTTTGTGATTTGTTTGTGGATTTGAAGAGTATAATAAGTGTAAGTAACTCCTGCTGCTGACATGAATGAAAAATTTCTTCACTGTTTCTTGCAACATCCTGGCCACCCTGATCACTTCTGTGCCACTAAAAGAAGGGACAACTCAATAAGTCTCATGATTTTGTCTGCTTGCTATCACCACTGTAGAGGCTGAAGTAACAGTCGTCACTACTCCCTAGGGCAGGAATTCTATGAACAGAATTCAGAGGGCTTGTGAGCTGGATTGTGGGAAAATATTTCTTTATTCAATGTGATTGTTTTTCTTTGTAATTCTATGGCTAGAGTGCTGGATCTGGAATTGAGAAGAACTGAGTTCAAATTCTGCCTCAAACATTTATTAGCTATGTGTCCTTGGGCAAGTCACATAACCTCTATTTTCCTCAGTTTCCTCAACTGTAAAATGAAGATACTAATAGTTCCTACCTCCCGGAGGTTTTGTGAGATTAAATGAGATAATATTTGTAAAGTACTTAGCATAGTGACTGGCACATAGTACGTGCTATAAAAATGCTAAATAATTAAAATTATTCTGAGGAGTCAATGAATTTCACCAGACTGCTTAAGGGGTTTGTGATCCACTCAAAAAATGTTAAAAAAAAAAAACAAAAAAACAAACAAACCCTGCCTTCAAGATGGTTGAAATACGGAATTGCTTTTATCTTTAGATACAATGTGACTAGACCCCATTAGATTTTAAATGATAGGTAGTATCATGGAAACAACGAACATAAACTTGGAAAGACTTCAAGAAATAGTGGAAGATAGAAGGGCCTGGCATGCTATGGTCCATGGAGTTACAAAGGGTCAGCCATGACTGAATGATAGCAACAACAACAGCAAAAGTACAGAGAATCATAACTTTTACATAAATAAAAAAAAAAAAAAACTCTCGAGCTCATCTGTGCCAGGGAGCATTTTGCAATACACACACACACGCACACACACACACACAAGCAGCATGGTGAAGTAGAGAGGATATTGGATTTGAAGTCAGAAGTCCTTGCTACTTATTACCTGTGGAGACTATGCTAAATTGTTTCATTTTTCTAAGTGTCATTTTCCTTATATATAAAATGAGGGAGTTGTGTGGAACTTTCCTTAGCTCCCCAACCTCCTCTCCAAAATAGGAACAGAAACACCAAAGTAAAAGATTAACAAAAAAAATCTTTCACATCACAGAAAATAAAATAGATTTCAGGTAAATGGATAAGCAAAATAAATACATAAATAAAATTCTCTACATATTACGTATTAAAGGAACAGATGAGAAAACACCAAAGAAAAATAGTGGAACAACACGAAAAAAGCTCTAGGAACCAAACTGGATCTATCTCATGACAATTCAACATGGATAAGATGCTTACTAAGAAAAACCAAGAAGAATCTGACATTAATAAAGATGAAATGTAGATAGATAAAGCAATTTATTAAAGGTTTACTATGTACTCGATACTGTGCTAGGTGTTGGGAATATAAATACAAGCAAAAAGAAAGGTAGTCCCTGCCTTTGAGGAGCTTACATTCTAGTGGGGGAAGATAACACATAAAAGGGAGCTGAAAAGCAGGAAGGAATAGTTACTGTCATAGGACAAAATTCATAAATGGTCTGGGGAGTCATGTGCTGAGTCGGAGTTGAAGAGATCCTAGAGGTCACCATCATGAGAAATCAGTGAAGAGGGAGCAAAAAGATACAGCAGTGAAACTCAACAACTTCGAAACATCAGTGGAGAATATTAATAGAACTATGATTCACTGGGAAATAGAATTGTTATGATAGGGGACCAAAAAAAAAAAAAGAAGCAATAGAGAAAACAGCAAACCAAATTCAGCAATTAACACAATTGCAAGAATATATGATAATTCTATAAGCAAAAGTAACAGAATTAGAGGATAAAACCTGAAGAAATAATGTATGAGTTATTTGTCTTCCTACCTCATCTCCACCCCTGGAAAAAGTAAAGAAAAGGAAGAATATGAACACCATATTTCAGTAAATCCTTTAAGAAAATATTCCAGAATTGTTGAAATTGAGGACCATAGTATAGATGGACACAATCTATTGAACACCAAGCCTAGTTTCAATTTATCTAGACATGTCATCAAATTTTAAAATTAAAGTGAAAGAATGATTAAGTAAGCAAAGAGGAAAAGAAACATCACCTATCAAAAATATACTGATCTGAATTGCATGGTATTTTCATCCCAAGTGAAAAACAGCTGAGTCAAGGGAAATTGGGTTTCTTTCCCAAACATCTTATTTAAGAACAGCAATAAAAAAGAATCTATTTCTTTAAAAAATTTTATTTCAATAAAAATAAGCTCCTGGGAGTTCTACACAAGAAATGAAACCCAGTAAGGACCTTTGATATGCGAACCAACCACGAAGCAAAACTTTAATAAGGTGCTGTTGTACAGTTGTGTCTGACTCTTTGTGATCCCATTTGAGCGTTTCTTGTCAAAGATCCTGGAGTGGTTTTCCATCTCCTTCTCCAACTCATTTTACAGATGAGGAAACAGAAGCAAGCTGAGTCAAGTGACTTGTTCAGGGTTACACAGCTAGTGAGTGTCTGAGGCCAAATTTGAATTCAGATCTTCCTAACTCCATTGCCCCAACTAGCTGCCCATTTTAATAAGGTAAATAGAAGTGTAATAAGAATTGACTGAAAGTAAATGCTATACAAGTGATATGGCAGTAATCAGGGGGATCTCTCCCCTATCTCCTGGCCTGGGGCATCTCCCATGGACCATTTCTGTGCCTAGGCCCCTTTGGGTGAGCCCCATATTTGGGTCACCTCCCAATATGGGTACATATGCTTGCTAAAAGGCACGCACAAGCAGAGGCTCCTAGCCAATCTCTTGGTCCCCATGACCAGGAGATGCAAGTCTGGGTTAAAGAGGATTGGATACGGAGCCACATGGAATTGACCACTCAGTGAGTGAGTGAGATTTTTTTTGGGGGGGGGGGGCTAGGCAATGGGGTTAAGTGACTTGCCAGGGGTCACACAGCTAATAAGTGTCAAATGTCCCAGGCCAGATTTGAACTCAGGTCCTCCTGACTCCAGGGTGAGTGCTCTATCTACTGCATCACCTAGCTGTCCCCACACTCAGTGAGATTTAAAGAGAGAAGCAATCTCTTTTCCCATTTTGTTATTTGTTTCACCGGAACACTGCCATCTCTCCCTTAGACTGCCAGTGGGGTGGGGGAGAAGAGGATCTTTTCCTACTCCTCCCTAGTAGCATCTATAGTAGTGATAAGCATAAAACACTAAGAGCAGGTACATGTCTAGGTGAACCTGAAACTGTATCTCAAGTCCCTATTTTCCTCTTCTGCTTCGTGTTTCTTCCCCTAACCAAACAGTAACTCTAAAGTGAATGTTCTCAGTTTGGTAGCTATCTCATGATCTCAAAAGTCATTGAGAGTTCTGAGTGCTGATTGCTCAGTTGAAAATGCTTCCTATAGCTATACCCTTCTCAGAGGAGATTACCACTGTTAGGACAATGAGCCCTGCATGCACGGCTGGATGTGGACCTTGGGTGAATTATTTGCTCAGATAGGGGCAGACTGAGGTGAAAGTAAAACCTGTCCAGCAATCTCCCAAGTCTCCTGGGAATCTTTACTTCCCAGGAAAGTTAACTAAGGTGATATACCTCTTTAAGTGCCTCATTTCTTTTCCATATCTGTTCATGGATTAAAAAAAAAAAAAAGCCTATTGCATATCTGTTCATGGATTCCTACAATTCTTTTGTCATTTTTTTTTTTATGTTTTAAATGTTTGCCAGTGTATGCTCATTATTCCTTTGTATTTTAAGTATTTCTTTTATAATGCAGGAAGTAAATAGTTGTCCTATGACTGATATCTACTAAAGCAACTTTTCCAGAAAGGATTCTGTTAATATTTCTTAGGGAAAGTTTAGGTGAGCCAAACTCAAGTAGTGTTTAAAGAGCTTTTCCTAAAATAACTCCAGGTGGGCTCAAAATGAGCCTGAGAGTGTGACCCCCTTTACAGGGAAAGGAGAGGGGGAGGGAGGAATGTTACTCTCCTCCAGGACCAAACCTGGCATGCTTGAGCTGAAAGCTGGGAATCTTTGTGGGAAAGGTAACAAAAAGATAGAAAAACAAAAGCAATAGTTATATAATTTACAAATTATGGGGAGAATCGGAATAATGGAAACGTTGGTATGAATGAAGGTATTCATGTTGCAACCAACAAAAGAGTGCATCTAAATAACAGTAACTGAAATTTGATTATAGTTTTTGTCAGGAGACACTCCGTCTTCCAACTCTGGGCATTTTCAATGGCTGTCCTCCATGCCCATAATTCTGTTTCTCCTCATTTCTGAGTCTTGACTTCAAGTCCTAGATAAAAAGCCACCTTCTACAGGAAGCATTTCCTGATCCCCTTAATGTTAGTGCCTTTCTTCTATTGATTATCTCCAATTTATATTGTATATATCTCACATGTACATAGCTGTTTGCACATTCTTTCCTCCATTTGACTGAGAACAAGAGCCTTTTGCCTTTCTTTGTATCCCCCATTTTTTTTTTTTGCTTTTTGGTGAGGCAATGGGGTTAAGTCATTTGCCCAGGGTCACACAGCTAATAAGTGTCAAGTATTTGAGGCCGGATTTGAACTCAGATCCTCCTGACTCCAAGGCCAGAGCTCTATTCACTGTTCCACCTAGCTGCCCTGTATCCCCAATTCTTAGCACAGTGCCTAGCACGTAGTATGTGCTTACTAAATACTTGTTAACTGATAATTAGCTGATTTGATTGACAAATACCTCAGAGTTTCTTGGAAAGAATATGAAATGTTATTTTGATTAGCAACTAGAGGAAATAAACATGTTGGGGGGAGGGCAAAGGCTAAAAAGAAGAACAACTTGATTGTGAAATACAGTATGTCTAACAAGAGCTAATAAAAATGTATTTTCTTAACCAAA